TGTATGGAATATATTGAAAAGGAATTGTTGCATCGCTAATTTTACATAATTTTAAATACGGTTTAATTCTTATGAAAACCGCTTTGAATGTAGATAGAACAGTGTACAAATACTTAGAATAAATTGCCCAGGAGTCAGCTGGCAGATGTGAAAAGAGTTCTCAGTTGTTCCCAACCTGTGGGCTGGGGTCCATCCAGCTTGGGCAGGTTTCTGCCTCCTTCCATGCCTCCCACCAGGCTCACCTCCATGGCAGCCATGCCCCCCATACTATGTTGGGTTGGCTCAGCCAGAGGCACCTAGTAGCGCACCAGCCCAGTTAGGGCAGTTTACCTACTTGCAAGAAGGACCATGGTTCCTGAGAAGACCGGGGGTGTACTGACTCCCACTGCCCATCCCCCATCTCTGGTGACAGCTGGAAATGACCATACCTTGAATGGAGGCATGAGCGACAACCACAGTTCCCTCTAAGCTGTGCTAGGAGGTGCTGGCGCACAACATTTCAGAGGACTGCTCAGAGGATTTTAGCTTCAACTCATATTTTCCCTTCCATAGGAAACCATGGAGAATGGGGGCATCCTGGTCCAATATTTTTGAAACTTGGGGGGCTTTTTGAAGCACCAGCAGCTATGCTGCAAATTTGGTGCCTGTACCTCAAAAAACAGGGGGAGGCCCAAGCCCCAGATACCCCCAGATAAATTTTCCATTATAGGCTATAACTGAGCCAGGAAAAAATGATTGTTTTGCACACCCCTATGCTTTCAGTATGATTTGTAAGCTGCCTTGAGTCACAGGAAAAGTGGGATATAAATATGTGAATAAATAAGTAGTTTGGGCAGTTGATAACATTTAAGCAACTTCCTGTTTGTTAGGTTAGACAGTGATTGTTCCACCTCTGTTATGTTGTTGTTGTTCAGTCACACAGTCGAGTCCGACTCTTTGCGACCCCATGGACCATATCATGCCAGGCCCTCCTGTCCTCCACCGTCCTTTGGAGTTTGCTCAATCCCACACCTGCTGCATCAATAACACTGTCTAACCATCTCATCCTTTGCCATCCCCTTCTTCTTTTGCCTTCAATCTTTCCCAACATCAGGGTCTTCTCCAGTGAGTGCTCCCTTCTCATTTGATGGCCAAAATATTTGAACTTCAGTTTCAGTATCTGGCCTTCCAGGGAACAGTCAGGATTGATTTCTTTTAGGATTGACTGATTTGATCTCCTTGACCTGTTATACTTGACCTGTAATGCTGGTTGTCATATTTCATTTTAAAAAACCAAAGTAGACTGCATGAGTTTTTTCTTCCTTAATTGCTGGTATGTTTTCTAAGGGTCAGCGCAAGATGATGGTCCAAGCCCATGTCTACCAATATAGTGGAATAGGGTGGGCAGACCTATTCTCCAGAGGCCAGGTCTACCAATACAGTGGACTGGGGTGGGTAGACCCATTCTCTGGAAGCTGGGTCTACCAATATAGTGGGAAGGGGCAGGGAGACCTGTTCTCTGGAGGCCTGGTCTACCCCTGCAGAGGGCAACATTTTGTGTAATGAAATTTGACTTGACTCGGTTTTCTCTTATAATGTTTAACTTATTCTTAAAATCTAGTTTAAAATCATTCTGAGATTTTTACAAGGTTATGGAAATAATTGTATAAAAATAATTTATGCAATAGTCAAATGTAGACTCGCTCACAACTTTAACACTACTAGCTTTTTTCGCTCAAAAGGTAGGATTTTTGCTCACTACACTGTGGAGCTTAGAGGGAACACTGGCTACAGCCCTTTTAAAAACCACAGTTTAGCTAGTAACTTCCTTGTGGGCCCATCAGTTGGATTCCCTGATCCCGCTCACCTTTCTACCAGCCTGGGAAGGCCCCAGGGTAGCTCAGTAAGTGCAGGGGAGGAAGGGTCATTCCCAGAGGAGTCTATGCTGGAATAAACTTTGTGACTTGTTAAGGTGCCATTGGACTATTTTGCCAGATAGATTAGTGATCATTACATTATCGGCTGTGGAAAAGACCTGCAGTTCAACATGTGCCCAGAGAGTTAAAAGCATATCCTGGAGATGAGATCCCCCTTTTTCCAATCCAAGTACCACAGGTAAGGCCATGGGAGGAGGGCAGCAACCAAGTATTCCTTGATTATGCCTGTAACCAGCATAATTGCAAATTCTCTCTCCAAGGAACATTTTAAATCACACTTTAATCCTTATTTGTGCTAGATTCTGATACCTGTGACTGTGAGCTCCTTTGGGAACTAGCTTACTGCTGAAAAGCAGGGTTAATTTCAAATAAGCATCCACCAATTGTTCTGTCAAGGACTGTAAATTCATTGTGCATCCAAGTGAATTCCCATGTGTACCAACTGCTAACTGTGCTGCCAAAGGGGACATTCTAGGCAGCTATACAAGTAATTCTAAGCTATACAAACTTATCAAGCTTTCTTATACTGTGTTATTTGTCTGTACTGTCTACCCTTCAACCAGACTTCCAATCTCTGAAAGCTGCAAAAAACCATCATCCAAATAATTAAAAAATGGAACCTGATAATTCCATGCTCCTAGGAGACCAAACACTCAGAAAGTTGCCAATGGCATCTTTTTGACAATATTTTTTTTCAAAACTGGACACCTGCTCTGAGAAGTCTGCAATATTCTTCCAGTGCCAAACACAAGATTGAACAGGGGGGGAAATCAGTATTTTTCTTAAAAGATCATAATGTATCATAGTAGAACAAACAAATCATCTTATTTATATTTTGCATTAAAATTCAAATGTATTTAGAAAAACTATGGCTGAATTATCTTTTTATTTCTTGTCCTCTAGCTAGCCCATGCAAACTACGCAACATCTGTGGCTTTCAGTTTTACACCTCTACAAAAATATTCACAGAGACAAAGTTATTTATTTCTTATCACAAAACCTCTAATCCTGCATAACAGTTGGCATATATTATACAGTTTCAACAGACCACAGAACCAAATTTTCCAAGTCTTTCAATTCTTCTAGATCTCCTTTCAAGTACAAGTTGTTTTGAAATTACAACAACAACAACCATGCTAAGCTGTTTCATTGCAAAATATATTTCAGGCCAACAGAGACATGTTTAAATATTGTAGCCTTGGGAAGAACACTGACACTTCACAACTAGCTCCAACCACTGGAATTCTGCTTTAGAGTCTGCACTCTAAGAGGTCAATCCAGTTTCTGTCTACACTGTTCTACATGCCAAGTGGTACAGAGGAAGCTTCCTGAACCATTTCTGGCCATCACTTGCAGAATTGTGTGAAGTGTAGGCTGGATTATGACCCTACCTTTACAATACCAAGGTTAACAATACAGCAGACCACCTTGTAGGAGTCATTGCCTCTAAACACAATTATGAAAACTGACTCCAAAGCTGAATAAATCAACACCAAAGTACCCATAATTTAGTGCTATGTTCTTTTTCTTGAATCACTGGAGCCAGTAGGAAAGTCAAGGGTAGACAGACCTCAATCAATTTTCAACCATCTCAGATCTTGTGAATTTACAATCCCTGCAACTTCATGTAGACAAATGCAACACAGAAAAAAAAAGTTTGAAGATTTCGATTCAAGCAAGATGTTCAGTACTTCTGATTAACCAGCTGGCAATAAACACTTTCTATCTATACAGAATGCCCCCTTAGAAATAATATTGTATACTAGATCATGGCAGATATATATGCTAGAAAGAGACTTCAAACCCATACTTAGTTTTAAAGCATAGGAAATACCAAAGAACTCCCAGAGAACTAAAATTATACTTTAGATTCTAAGATGGGAACTCTTCCTACCACAGTAAAGTTAAACATATTAATAATAAACATATTATTAGTGCTAAATTATAAGGCTGGGGGGGGGGACATTACCAATAGCTCCGAGATGTCAGCACAAAATTGCCAATACAGTTATGCTACCTGCTCACCTTCTCAATAGTCTGAGGAAGGATACATTCTCAACTGCAGCCAGCAAACTGGGTTTAAAAAAAAAAAACTTGCCTTTTTTCCCCACTGTTCAGGATTCAGGCATTACTTTCCTATTATAAGAGGAGTAGATCTGGCAACTTCAGTGATGGGCTCAGAATGTGGTGACAAAAACCCCATAAGCCCCAAAACCCAAGGGGGTGGGATTGGGGGGGGGGGGGAATCCCCATCTGACAACACTCTTTGCTACATTATATAGTTAAGGAAAGGCAGAGAAATGGGATATAGATCAGTACCCACACCAGCATTTCCCTCCCTACGGTACCCCAACCATACAACACCTAGTAATAGCAACAACTGGCCTTGGGCTGGGGAGATCTGCATTCGAACTCCCCCTCATCATGAAGCTCCTCAGATGACCCTGCACCACTCACACACAGTTTAACCTACCTCCCTGAGATCCTTGGAGAAAACGAAGAAACTCCAATGAGATAAATAAAAAACATTAATACTAGGATACAGAGTTATCAGTGACGAGAGTGTCTGTCTTTAAATAAAAAAAAAACTTCCCCAAAATCTTGCTACCACCGAGGTGCCTTTCAAAGACTGTGAGGATTTCTTGTTCCGCTTGTGAGCAGCAGAAAGTTCCGTTGCCCGAGCAAGTCTGCGATGTGGCAACAACCATCGACCACGTCCACTTGAGAGAGTGCTCCAGACCCGGAGGCGCAACCTCAACAACCCCTAGCCATGCCCCTCCAGGTGACCCAAGCCTTGAGCGGAGAGAGCGGCGGCCAGGGGACTGCGCTTGCCTCCCAGCGGCGGAACTCCACGCCCAAGCCCCGAGTCCTCCTCAGGCACCTGCCCGCAACGCCATCAGCAAGAGCGGCTAGACTTTCTCTTCCTTTTCCTTCAGCAGCAGCCGCCGCCGCGCAGTCTCCTTCCAAGACCTCCCCGACGACTCTAAGGACCCCAACCTCTGGGCCCGGGCTGCCCAGTCTCTCCCCCGCCCCTCAGCTCCAACCCACCTCCGAAGAAGAACTCTCCAAGCCACCCACGCTTACCAGACACCGGCCCAACTTCTCGCCACTGGCCGACCACCACTTTAGAACAGGGCGCGGCCTCCTACAATGGCGGGGAGGAGGACCCACCGGGCGGCTTGAGCATTAAGCGGAACCGCCGCGCGTGGCCACAGCCCGGGAAAGGAAGAGGTGGAGTCGGGCAGGCGGCTCCTGGTGCAGATAGCGGCACCAAAGACTGGAGGGGGGGGGGGGGGGGAGGCACGAAGACTACATTTCCCATCAGGCATTTCGTGTGCGGCGGCGCAATACTGCTCCCATGCGGTATCACGACGGGTTCCCCCGCCCTCAAGAAAGGTTTTAAAAAAATCTCGCTCTCTCAGTAGTTCAGTATTCTATCAGCCTCTTCTCTCCCGCACGGCTTCAGTGATAGAATTGGTTGATTCGTTTTCTTTTTGTACAATATATTTATTGGGTTTTTAAACATATCAGCCTGTATCATATACACACAAACAAGAACATCAACAACTACGTACAAAAAAACCCCTACGATAACAATTTTCCATTTCAACAACACAGATTAATAGAAAAACTAGACAAGAAATAATTATTTTGTGCTTATCTTCCACTTTTAGTTCAGTTCTGTGTTGAGTAACTACTTCCATCTCAATTTCCTTTGAAATTTACTACCTTCTCAAGATTTGGCTGTCAGCTCATATTGGTAATATATGTTAATCATATACACTGTTTATAATCATCCTCCAGTAGTAATCCATTCTTTGCTCTTAGTATAGGTACAGGCAGAGGTCATTTCGGGGGATCGTGGGGGATCGCAGTTCCCCCGGGTGAGGTATGGGGGCGGGGCACATGACGAAGCCCCGCCCCCTGCTTCCGGCTGCCCCGCTTCCGGCCCTCATTCAGCCAGGAGGAGGCAGGAGAAGAGGGAGGGTAAGTTGCTTCCTCCCTGCCTCTCCCCACCCCTGCCTGCCTGGGGCCAGGGAGGGCCTTCGCAGGGCTTCCT